TGTCAGCCCAAATCCTTTTAGGCTTTTTGCTATCTCGATACCCTCTATCAAACGACGTACGAATGAAGAGAATCGGCGTTGGACACCTCGGGAGGTTCCCTCGTGAGTGGAAGTTTTAAATAAATATGATGTCTTTGAATTCGAAGTTATTCTAAAATCAACTGTTACACTAGGCGCAATGGCACTGAATCATTTTCAACGTAAGACGTATCATTTGATGAAGTAACGCAGTTATTTTGTACGCTATTATTCATCCGAAAAACCTTTGAGCACACCATTCGATATAATTAACGAACGATTCGATTTTAAGGATAAAATCGGTAGCATGAAGAGTGTATTAGAAGAGATGATAGGCAATGTCTTGCTTCCACGTCTTTATCCACAAAGTTTCGCCGCTAAAACTAGTATAAATAAAACACGAGGTATTCTTTTAAATGGACCGTCTGGCACTGGAAAAAGTTTGATCGCTAGAACTGTGTGTGATATATTAAACGTAACTCCGAAAGTACTACGTGGCTCAGAAAAATTTTCATTCATACTGGGTCAAGCAGAACAAAATATTCAAGATTTGTTTGAAGATGGTTGTCAAGATCAACGTAACTTTGGTTCCAATAGTAAACTACACGTAATTGTATTCGACGAAATCGATGCTGTATGCAAAAATCGAACACAGAATAATTCAGTACGTGATACCGTGCAAGATAATGATACTGCCCACTTCTTGGGTGAGATCGATGGAATGATTTGTCGTGATAGTATTCTTTTAATTAGCACAACAAATTTTCTGGAAGCAATTGATCCAGCACTTCTTCATCCGTGACGTATTGAGAAAGTTATTAAAATTGAATTATCCAAGGCAGCCGCTCGCTCTGCTATTTTTGATATCTATACAAAAGCATTTATCCGTAATGAAGCACTATATGAAGATGTCGACATTAATCACATCATTCACCGTGCTGAAGGAGTGACCGGTGCACATGTGGAACGAATTGCTCGATTGGTAGTTCATGCTGCTATGCAGCTCGATATTCTAGAGCGAGATAAGCTCGATATTACTGAAGAAGAGGGAGAAGTACTTGGAGTTTGTAATCAAGATTTCATCGAAGCTTTATGTGAAATCAGCATATGATTTTTAAAGAAATAAAAAATAAAATAAATAAGAGTTACCGCTATAAACCGATATTTTCGCATAATCACAAATAACAGAATCGATTTAAAACAGTGTACTTTGCTCACTTACATCTATTGAAAAAATTTACGAACTTCAAAACAATGATCAGATATCTTTTTAATAAAATTGTTTCCAGAATTATTTTTAGTTGATATTAATGATTGTTCTTAAATATTAATGATTAATACAATAGATGGGTATGAGATACTGTTATTGCATCAATTTGATCATGTTGAATATTTTGGAGTGTATCAATCATGTTTAGCTATCGTTAAGGGAGAACTACGTATTACAATACTTTGAATTCTATGTGACTATACATTCAAAAATATCTGTATATTTTATCAATGGTATGGAATATAAATTGACTACTAGTCAAGTGTTGATACAATCTTTATCGAATTTTATTATCTATTTCAACGTTTTTTCATCATTTTTAAGTGTTTTTAGAATTAAATACATAAGAAGGTATTTTGAACTGTATATCAAAAAGATTGAATTATATTTCTTCCATGCTGTTAGAAAATCAAATTTGGGTCCATAAAATTGTTTATATAACCTAACTCAATATTATCAAATGTTTTAATATATATTTTCTCTTTTTTTCATTCATTTTCACTTATTTTAAGGATTTTCTTCATATTAAGAAATATGTTCAGAGACAATTTTGTCAAGAAAAGTTATTCGAGGATAGCACTTATTCATGCCAGAATGTAGATCATAGAGTTCCGTGGGTGTTTGTGGTGTTAGTATAAATTACTAGTACCTACTTAGGTCCTCAAGGACTGTTGTACGAGGTATCCTCAGTTGATTGAGAGCTGTTTCCATCGACCAATCAGATTCAAGGGAACTATTTCTCCACTATTGTAGGGACAAAGCATCCTGTTATTCGGATCACAAGAAAGAAGGCCACGTATAACCCCGTGATCAGCCCAAATAACACTATGTTTTGTCCTTATAATAGAGACAAAAATGGCGCTGAAATCTGATTGGTCGTCAATCAATCAATCACATTTCAGGAAGCTTGTTTTTTCCTATTGTTAGGAGAAAGCATAGCGTTGTTCGGGCGGATCAAGGGGTTATCCGTGGCCCTCTTTCTTATGACTCGAGTCAAAGTATGCCTTGCCCTTAGACTGAAAGAGAAACAGCACCCTTGAATCTGATTGGCCAATAGAAAAAGCTGTCGACCAACTAAAGATACCTCTATAGGTAGCCCTTGATAACCTGTTGAGCAGCTGTAGCTTCCAGGAGTTCTTCACCAATTTTTCGATGCAGCTCTCGCAAGCTGTGGAGCTGGAGCTTTTACATACTTAATAGGAATTGATCTGTCTCAACAGTTCTTTGATCTGCATTGATCTATATAGCAGTTATTTTTGAATGAGCTGATTCTGTCACACGTTGCATTTCAAACTTTCCATTAGATTTATAACTAGTTCGTCTGGACCATGGTTGTCAACTGTGCAAATATGATGGAATGACGCTAAGGCAAAGTTAATGCTAGAATAGAAGGACCCCATTCTCAAAAGACGAAATAGTCCCTAGAGTGGGTTATATAATAGAAGTGTTGCAAGACACACACATTTCAAAAAAGAACTGGTCACGGTATCGAGTTCTCAAAAAAAGAACTGATAACTTTGTCCGGTTGTTGGAAAATATGCAGTTCATAGAACTAGGAACTGACCTAGGTCTACTACTAGTCTTTTTTTTGCAGTCATCAGTTGTAAAAGTTAATCCAGTGTGGATGTTTTCTGTTTTTTTCGTATTCTTATGTCTGATCTTACTTAGCTATTGAATTAAAAGTTTTTTTTAACAAGGAGTTACGATAGTGAAAAACTGTCTCACAAGAAAAGAATGCAATAGGGTTTTCAGAATTTCTATAATTTGCATCGACTCCGACTCCGAAAACAAAGACTCATTCCGAATTCGACTCAAACAGAGTTCGAGTCGGAATTAAGTTTTGGACTTCAGTATAGGTCTCTAATTTACACCCACCCACCCATATCCACATCCATAATAGCTTCCGACTCTGGTTGAAAATGTAACTGAAGCAGTTGAATAGAATCGATCGTTGTGCATAGCTTCGAGATAGAGCAGCAGCAGACCAATAAGGAATTTTGAGCGAGCGCTTCTGTCACTCATAAAGTAAATATTTTCTTTTTTTCTCATATAAATAACATAAAAAAGATACCATAAATGTTATCTTATTTAAAGGCTGCATTTGCTTATGATATTGAAAATGGATGGTTTTTTTACCAGTAGTTTTAATGTTGTTATTTTTTTCCTCTCTGAGTAACTTCTACAGAAGATATGCCATAAGCGTTTCACGACAACAAAAATCTATATAAGGACTCAAATTTTCGACTTCTTTTTTATTCCGTAAAAAACAGAGCAACCACAACAACAATCACCGAACTAAATTAATAAAAGAAACAAGCTCAAGTATATTTGGATTCGTTTGGCCCTCCTTTCAATTATGACATTTTTTCGATCTTCTTTTGACGTTGATGACTTTATTGTTCGAGATAATAGTCGAATCACTGCACTTAATTATCATTTCAAGCAAAGTAATGGATATTCAAGGAACGTATCAGTGACTCGACAAGCTTATGAAGATATAGCACATACAATGCAAACATCAATAGTACCATTTGACGATTACTCCACGGTTGTCAGAGTATTCATGATGGGACCTCATGCAGCAGCAGACATACCTGCAGCATTTCGTATTTTAGATAGAGATGGTTCTGGCACAATCGATTTGATGGAATTAGCTAGGTTTGCATCTATTTATTCACCAAGCGCTACGCCATCCAAGATCCTCAGTTATATTCGAAGAGTTGATCGAAATTCAGATGATAAACTGAATTTAGCTGAATTTACTTCACTCATAATGAGTGGTATTGGACATGATCTTGTATTTGAATAGCCCTAAGGCGTCTAAGTTACTGAAAGATAAACGATTAATCATGGTATATCGAAAGGATGATCGTGCGCTTTAACGCAATTCATGTTCAGTTTTTTTTCGTTAATCTTTGATGAATTGTTTTGATAAATCGTATTTTTTTGAACTAACTATTGCACTTCATCATAATAAATATTTGCGTGATTTAATAAATGTTTAGTTGATTTCTTTAGACATAAGCAAAAATTATACCAATGATTTAAACTGACGAGGGAACGTCCCCAACTGTCAAACCGCTTTTGGGCCGGGCATGTGCTCAAACGATAGACCTTAATGAGCAATTAAAGATTCTACAAAGGTTTGGTTTTCCAGCCTTCTGTTGTCAAGT